AGGGCAGGTGGGGGGGGTTCACCTCGGGGCAGGGCAGGTGGGGGGGGTTCACCTCGGGGCAGGGCAGGCCCTGTCTGCCATCTCCTTTCTTCAGGAGGAAGCGCATGTGGGCGAAGAATTCCACACCATCACCAGGTTTCCTGAGAGAGAGGGCCCGGGTCAGCTCAGCGTGAGCCCGATGGGCACACGCGACCCCTGGGGCGCACAGGGGCGGGGAAGCGTGACCCCCACCGTGCCCCGGACCTTCAGCCCCCTCCCCACCTTGGTGAGCTAGCCCGGCCGACAGTGGCGTGTGGACGCCAGGGAGGGAGGGGAGGCGGGGCTGGCGTGGGGGCCGGCCCCCCGCTACCCACCAGGCCCCCGTGGCGGGCTCCTGCAGGTGTGCGCTGCTGTCGGGCTCCTGCCCCGTCTTGCGGAGGAAGGACGGGCAGGCCTGCACCTGCCTCAGCACGCTGCTCTTGATCTCCAGCAGAGTGGACATGGTGCCGCTCACCTGCCGCAGGATGAGGCTTTGGGTTGGCGGTGGCCGGGGAGGCCCCGGGGATGCGGGACAGAGCAGGGCAGGGGCCTGGGAGCCCGCTGCCCACGCAGGACTGGCGGACCACGCCAGAAGCCCGACGGAGCCTCTGGGAAGCGGCACCCGGTGCGTTCTGGAGACCGTGGCCGCACAGTGAGCCAGGACGCCCGGGCAGCACAGAGGCCAGGACCGGGCGGGGTGGACCCCTGATCGCGTGACCGGAATGCCCAGGAGGGAGCGGTCTGGGGTCCTCAGCTCAGAGTCCGGTCAGCCCTCACAGCCAGGAACGACCCGTGGCCTGGGTCTCCGCCTCCCTGTTGCTGTGGTAACGCGGCGGCGTGGGCATCCTGCCGGCAGGAAGCAGCCCGGCTTCCTGCTGGGACACAGCGGCCCTCTGCAGGGAGGAGCCCGGCCGGGGTGGGGACCCCGAAGACCCCGCCGCCCTCACCCTGCACTAACTGGGGATGGGGAGGGATGCGGGGGGGGGACAGGAGTGGGCTGAGCCAGTCTCCAGCCCTGGGAGGGGGTGGGGGGGAGGGGACGGCAGAGGAGGCGGGGGACCCAGGGGACACACAATAGAGGCCTGGGTCCGGGGACTGCAAATCAGAGGCCCCCCTTCCCTGTCCAGGGCGCAGTCTGGGATCCCAACAATTCCGGCTGCTGTTAACATATCCTGGCAGGGTCCCCAGCCCAGCCCAACACCTAGGTGACCCCTTTAGCAGGGCCTCAGTTTCCCTTGTAGATAGACCCTAAGTCAAAGTCAGGGTGAGAGCTACTGCCCCGCCCAGCCTGGACGCCCAGCCCCGCCCCGAGGCCTCCCCACGGGCTCCCTCCCCCAGCCAGGCCCCCTGTGCACACGGCACCGGCTCTGCTTCACAGGACACCCCTGCCCCGCCACCCGCCACCCACCCCGCTGACCACAGCCACCCCGGCGAGGGGCGAGGGGCGAGGGGCAGCTGTCCTGACCCTGTCACAGAAGAGGAAATGCGCCAGCCCGCCGCACTGGGGGAGCCCGGGGCTCCCACAGGTGTCGGGCGAGTTCACTGCTGTCGGTGGCTCGGGCCTCATCCCACCGTGGGGAGCGGGGAGCCCCGGGGAGGGGCCGCACTCAGATAACGCCCCTTCGCTGCCTCCACACGGTTACGGCCCCCCCGAGTCTCCCCTCAACGTGGGGCCTGCTGGGCCGTCACCCCGCGGCTGGATGCACAACTCCCCCCCTCTCCGGCCGAGTGGGAGAGGCCGCTCCCCGCGACCCGAGCCCGCACCGTTGCCAGGGCAACCGGCAGCCGCATCCGTGTGCGATGGGGCCAGGGGGGCTCTCGGCCCCCGAGACAAATGTGACGCAGGAACCAAGCAGCCCGCGCCGCAGGGCCGGGGTCTCCGTGGGAAGATGTCTGCGACGAGGAGCGGGCGGTAGCCCCTCCGGTGTCCGCTCAGCCCCTCGGGGTGTCCCCTCAGCCCCTTGGGGTGTCCCCTCATCCCCTCCGGTGTCCCCTCATCCCCTCCGGTGTCCGCTCAGCCCCTCGGGGCGTCTTGGGGTGTCCGCTCAGCGCTCCGAGCAGCCCGGAGGAGGCAGGCGCCCGGCGCTCCGGTGGGGGCCGCTGCGGCTGGGGACGGTCCCACCGCAGAGCTCAGGTGGCGCCGTGGGGTGGCGGCGTGGCCCTGGCCGTCCCGGGCCGAGGCTCAGCACCCTGGTCTGGTGCTGGGGGGCACAGCCGTCCTCAGGCCCCGCACCTGTGGAGGCTGCGCCGCCCAGGACCCCCCACGCACCCGCCTCGCTGACCGAAGAGGCCCTGGAGACACCTCCCCGGTGTCTGCGCCGGCCATCCCCAGCGGGGGCGGACAGGCTCAGGGTCTGCCAGGGACTGACTGGCACAGGTGTCTCCCCCACTCCCACCCTGGGGCCGCGGAGCTGGGGCCACGTCCCCCCACTGTCCCCCTCCCCACTATCCCCCTCCCCACTGTCCCCCTCCCCACTGTCCCCACTCCCTGCCTGCTGTCCCCCCAGCTGCCCCTCTCCCTGCCCTCTGACCCCCCTG